GCAACTAACACTTTCACTTTCATACATTGTGAAAGGCTTACAGCAATCAAGCTGAGTAACATATTATTACACACCTAATACAGTTACCAGTTTTGGGCGTGGGGTGGGGTAAGAACAACTAAAATGTACTCTCTAAGCAATTTCAAGCATATAATATGATATTGCTAAGTACTGTCACCATGCTATATATATCCAGATCTTGTTCACCTTGCATGTCTGAAAGTTTGTACCCTATAACCAACATCTTCCCATTTCTCCCACTCCTAGCCCTTGGTAACCACCATTCTAGTCTCTGCTTTAAACAGTTCAACTTTTTTAGATTCCACATATAAATGAGATCATGAACCTAGAGGACATTATGCTAAGACACAGACACAGACAAATACTGCATGACCTCCTTTTCTATTTTTCACTTCTTCCTCTCTATCCACTTCTAATTCAAAGAAAGAGCCCAGGTTGTCCAAGGTCATGGAGCAAGGAGAACGTGCACTGGCCTCGGAGTCAGACATCCTAGCCCCACCAGAGAATTACTGTATGATCTCGGTTAAGTTCTTATCATGCCCCTGCCTCAGTTGCCTCATTTGTAAAAGAGAACGATGACTACCATACCTGACTCGTGGGATGCTGTGAGCACTAAAGAGCACAATGCATGTGAAATGTTTCACAAAATGAAACTTGCTCTACAACTGTTAGTGCTAACTCACACCGCCATTCCCTAGTGTAACACCCCAAGCAAAGCACAATACCACCATCCATCTCTTGCAAAGGGACTAAATGGCCCACTGACTTGGGACTAAGCGTCACATGTGACACTCTGGAACATTTACTCTACCCCAGGCAATGAAAAATCACCACCATTTAATCCTCTCAATCTAGCAGCTAGAAGTCTGACTCTTTGTGACCCCGTGGACTGCAGCTGGCCAGGTTCCTCTGAGCATGGGATTTCCCAGGCAAGAATACTGGAGTGGGTTGCCATTTCCTTCTCCAAAGAAGTCCTAGCATTTTGTAGATGAGGAAGTGGAGGCTTGGTGAGGTCACAGTGCTGGTGAGGATGAGAGCCTGGGTCTGCACACATGCTTGACCCAAGCCCTCACCCCCTGCCTCATGTGTGCAAAAATGGGCTCTCATAGGGAGTCATCTTAGGAGGTAAGGTGAGGTTTCGTGGAACCCTTAAGAGCTCCCTAGAAGTAAAATGCTGTTTAGCTCCCAGGTGGGTGGATTGTGCGCGTGTCATCAGGAAGAGAGGTGTGGCTGTCCCCCCCGCTTCCTCTGTATTCCGCCGTCTCCACTGCCCCACTCTGCTGAGAGGTTAAATGGCAATCCTGAAACAAACATCACACTTTAATTGCACTCTGTCCCTCTGTTTATGAGGCAGAGTCCCTACCACTAGTATAGGGGAAGGAAAGGCTGTTTCTTGGGAATAGACCTGATGGGCCCCCTGATGTTGCCAGGGTACAGGGGAGATGGTCGAGCAGATCTAGCTGGAGGTAAATACTGGTGGCCAAGCCAAGCACCATACCCCAAAAAGCAGAGGACAGATGATCTGGTGGGGTGGGGGCGGACAGGGAGATGCAGAGAAGAACACCTCCTCATGGCTGCAGACTGTTCTCCCATGGGGAAAAACTAATTTGAAGGAGTTTCCAGTTAATGACAATTCTTCTGAGATGCCACCTATTCACGGAGTCTGAACTTCCATAGACACTGACCAGCTGCATCTTGCCTACCATTTGTACTTTCATGGAGGACAGAATTTTAGTTTTGAATGCCCACCTCCATGAAGTTTCCACAACACCAAAGGAGGTTAATAAACAGGCTGGACAATGCCTCTACCATCAAGCTCCACGTACTTAGATACGAGCAGAGAAGAACCTGTTTCTGCTGCAGCCAGAGCTTTGCCTCTTCTTGTGGTCAGGAACCACCTCTGGCCACTGTCATCACCTCATTATAACAGGGTCCTACTCTCATCTGGCCACCAGTTTTTATTGATGCTGGAATCTGAGCAGACCCGACAAGAACGGAAGGTTGACCTAAGAGGAAGCAGGACACTAAGGCTTGGCCACAGAGAAAGAAGAGACTGCTCTGTGGTGCTATGTCTGTTTCTAGACACACCTCTAACCAGCTGGTGACTTAGCACAACTGGCTTCCCCTCCCTGAACAGCAGGGCTCTGCTGCAGGCTAGCGAGGTTAGATGCCGCAGTATTCCCCAAGCCTACCCCTACTTCTGACATTTTTTGCACGGTGCTTTGAAGATGAGAAGGGCTCAGGAAATGCTTTAGAAGTATGAAGAACATCTGGTTGACCCTAGGCTTGTGCCTTCCCACCCACCTTCTTCTTAGTCTTCTGTGTGAGTGCGTTTGAGAGTGTGATGTTGGTGGGGACCCAGGAGGACGAGAATAGAAACATAGCTCGGCTGAATGGCAGGTGGGACATCTTAAGAAGAAGAGGGGAGTGTTGGGGAGAGAAGAGAGCAAGCAAAGCAGAAGCAGAAAAACTGACCCAGAACCTCCCTGGAGGTCCAGTGATTATGAATCCGCCTTCCAATGCAAGGGATGCAGGTTTGATCCCTGACCTCTGGTCAGGAAATGAAGGTCCCACATGCAGCAGGGCAGCTCAGTCTGGGGAGTGCACTAGAGAGAAGAACTAGCCAGGAGCCTGAGCGCCACAATGAAGGATCCCACGTGCCACAGTGAAGACCCAGCATAGCCAAATAAATGAATAAACAGTGTAAAACAGAAAAAAAGATAAACTGCCCCAATACTTTCCAGGGAACAGACAAGGCGGTGAGTCAAGAGGGTATTTGCAGAGAAGTTTCTGGTTAGTGTTCTGATGAGGGGGATCTCGGTGGGGCCCCAGGTGGGGGTGATGGAGAGGTGGGAGGACGTATTTCTGTGACGAGGCTGAAGGGACATCACTGTGCTTGGCACATGTCCCTTCCCCTAGCATGGCAGGAGGCAGAAGTCACCATGTGGTCACCACTGCCTCTCAAATCCAGGAGGAACCAAGGAAAGAACACAGGCCTCAGATTCCAGGGCCGGCTCCATGACTTGCCAGCCCTGTGGGCTGGAGCCAAAGTGTCCCCTCACGGAGCCCCACATCCTCTGATGAAAGAACAAGGTGAACAACACTGCAGGAACAACACAATCACACCATCTCTCCCCCAGCCATCGGCAGGGTAATATCCGAAGAGATGAAGTGTGTGAAAATCCTTGGTGAGTATATGAAGAGGTTCCCAAATAGCTGAATACTCATTATGATGAAAAAAATATAAAAAGGCAGAATAGGCACTCTGCTTTGACTAAAGTCAGGAAACGACCGTTCGTAGGTTGTTTTTGGCCCTGGCCCTTGGAGATCTGCCTCAACCCCAAAGAAGTCTCTGGGCCATTTTCACTGGACTCTGTCTTCACGCGAGGAGTTTGCAGTGCAGTGTTTCACGGCAACTCAAACGAAAGAGTATCTTCTTGTGCGTCCTGAAGAATGAAGCTGTCCAGGATGCTACATTTGCCTTAATACTTCACTAATAACACTGTCTCTGGCATAGCTTTAGATAGAGTTAAGTACTCCACATTGAGTCTAAATGCTGGTGATGGAGACAAAGCCAAGGGCTCCCAAGACAAACCCATAAATGGGAGAAAATATCTGCAAGTGAAATGGCTGATAAGTGATTAATGTCCAACACATATAAACAGCTCATACAACGTAACATCAAAGAAATAAACAGCCCAGTTAAAAAATGGGCAGAAGAACTGAATACACATTTTTCCAAAGAGGAAATGCAGATGCTCAACATCATAATCATCAAGGAAATGCAAATGAAAACCACGAGGAGATATCTCACACCTGTCAGCATGGCTGTCATCAACAAGGACACAGACAACATGTGGAGGATGTGGGAAGAGGGGATTCTTGAGTACTGTTGCTGTGAATGTAAGTTGGTATAGCCACTGTGGAAAATAGTATGGGAGGTTTCTCAAAAAAAAAAAACTAAACTAAAGACAGAGCTATCACATGAGTCTGCAGTTCCACTCCTGGGTATACATATATAAGAAAAACAAAATGCTAATTTGAAAAGATACTTGCACCCCAATATTCACAGAAGCACTATTTACAATAGTCAAGATATGAAAGCAACCTAAGTGTCCATCAACAGATGAATGGATAAAGAAGATACACACACACACACACACACACACACACACACAATGGACTACTACTCAGCCATAAAAAGAATGAAACTTTGCCAATTGCAGCAACATGGATGACCCTGGAAGGCATTATACTAAGTGAAATAAGTCAGACAGAAGAAGACAAATACTGTTTATCACTTATATGTGGAATCTAAAAAATACAATAAACTAATGAATAAAACAAAGATGAAGCAGACTCACAGAGAGAATAAACTGGTATTTACAAGTAGAGAGAAGGATGGGGGGAGGGGCAACGCAGGAGTGGGAGGCACAAACTACTGGGTATAAGATAGGTTCAGTGATGTATTATACAACACAAGGAATAGAGACAATATTCTGAAATAGCTGTAAATGGAAAGTAACCTATAAAAGTTGTATAAAATTAAAATTTTTTTTTTTTTTAGAAAGCCAAGAGTTCCTTCTTCCTTTTCTGTATGCTGCTGCTTTGGACAGAACACTGCAAAGCATACTAAATAAACAAATAGCCAACTCAAATCTACCACTTCGCAACAGAAAGCTTAAGGATTCATCTGTCCGAGCCCCTCATTTTAGAGGTAAGGACACCAAGACCAATACAAGTGCTTGGACCAAAGGCCCATGCCTCGTAAATGGCAGAGTTGGTCCCAGAGTCCATCTGTCTCTCCATTCTACAGTACATCATGATCTCCACCTCTCATGCTTAAAATGCACTTTTAAGATTTAAACCTGAGCAGCATTCCATCTCTTTCCATCCATCTCTAAATGCATTTCAGAAAATGAGCCTGTGTCCCCACCCAGAAGTCCATGCCAACGGAGAGTTTGGGCCTCCTCTCTTACCTGTAAGTTTGCACAAGGTGGTAAAACGTGAGTGGGGATTTCATTCTCAGAGCCTGCTGGCCCCAGGGGCTTGTTCTTGACCCGGAAGGCTGTGGTGGTGGTGGCAGTGGTGGTCTGAACTGGGAGGGCTGGCTGCCACACAGTCACATCCGAGCCATTGCCAAAGGCTTGAATTGCATTTTCTGCAGTAAAACAGGAGGAAATCCAATTTCAAAGTCAGGCAGCAAATGGAACAGACAGGATTTGTGAAGTCAGAGAGGTACACTAGAAATTCTGATGAGAGCACTGGACTTCTCTGAGCAAAACCCATCCATCCATCCACTCCCTACATACTGAGAGCCAGCCATGGGTCAGGTGCTCTAAAATCAATTCACTCATTAAACCCTGAGCTGGACACTTAGCTATGCTCTATAAATGCAACAGATATTTATTGTGCCCCTCTTCAGATACTAGGTACTGAATAAGATCCTTTCCCTGAAACATTCATCAGTCAAGTCTTTTGAAACTTGACTCAAAATAGCCTCAGACCTGCTATTTGGGATCACAATCACTGTTCCATCTTTCAAAAAAAAATGCTTATGTGAAAATTCTATACTAATGGCAAGCTAATTATGAGACTCCCTAATTATGAGACTGGGGTGACTCAGTAGCATTCATACAAATTCAGCAGGCAGTGAAATCAAACAGCAAAAAAAAAAAAAAAAAAAAATGTGATCCGCTACCAAAGAGCACCTACTATGAGCCCAGCATTGCTCAAAGTACAAACACAACAGATTTCTTTAAAGAAAAATATATCCCAAACCTCATCAATAATATATTGTGAAAATGTAAGCAAGATTATTTTTTTCCTTTCTGCTCCCAGTCTTCTGAACAAAATCTGCATAATTAGGAAGGCACAGCCCTGCTTAAATGAAAAGTTTAAAATGTAAAACTTTAAAAGCTTATTACAATTTCATGGGATTAGATTGTTTTTTATGGCAAGAGTAAATTCGTTGTGTGTTGTTCCCCTCCCCGAGATGAATAAAAAACAGGTTTTAATCAGGTCCTCAGGGATTTGGCCTGGATTTAGGATTTTTTTTAAATTTCATATTCATTGTATAAAAAATCAAACTCTTCCATTTGGGACCTGAATGTGCAAATTGTTAATATATGACTCTTAGCTGGCATTTTTCAATATACGAGACAGAATAATTTAAGCCTAATCTTCCTCTCAGAAGTGACATTTTGTTCTAAAATTGTTATCCTTGAAGTTCAGCAAATTGGAAGCTTGTTTTCAAAAACTTTACATTTTTAAGTCTGTAGGAAACAGCTTCAAATTAATATCAATGCTTCTTGAGCTCCCAGTTGGGTTACAGAGCTTAATGGGTGGGTGGAAGGTAAAGAAGCTGGTACTTGGGCAACCAGTTTCCTCAAATGACCCAGGACTACAATAATAAAACAAAACCTTCCTTTGTCCTGTTAAGGCATGTAGATTCAGGAGACCCATGTCATTTGTTGAAACTGAGATTTCCAGCATGTCTGCCTTGTCATTTGGGAAGATTGTCCACTCGCTCACTCATTCATTCAGGTGTCAATGGAATATCTACTAAGTGCCAGGCACTGTTCTGTGCTGATAATCAGCAGGGGGCAAATGACACCAACACGACAGAAAAGTCCCTGTCCTCTTGGAGGTTATATTCTGGTTAAGGAGGCAAACAGAGAAAGTATACAATACATTGTTGTTGTTCAGTTGCGAAGTCACGTCTGCCTCCTTGCGAACCTATGAACTTTAGGCTGCCAGGCTTCTCTGTCTATGGGGTTCTCCAGGCAAGAATACTGGAGTGGGTTGCCACTGCTTTCTTCAGGGGATCTTCCCTTCCCAGGGATTGAACTCGGGTCTCCTGCATTGCAGACAGGTTCTTTCACCGTCTGAACCACCAGGGAAGCAATAGATTGGCGTCATGTTTGTGCTAGGGGAATTGGAGAGGTTTGGTTAATTTGAAGGGATGGGGGAACTGGGTTATTGCATTTAGGTTGAAACCTACAAATTCCAATTCCTTCTACCCTAAGGCCTGTTGCAAGAGGCTGAATTTAGTCTGTGTCTTTCGTAGGCTGTGCTCCATCTAATCAAAGTATAAATGGAATGACTATGAAAAATTCTGGCTGGCTTTGGTCCTCATTGAAGACCAAATGTGTTTATGTTTATTAAAAAATCATTAGCATTGATACCATTCTTCCCTTCACCAAAATATTATTAAGCAGGGACCACTTTAATTTCTCTCTGAGGTAGTGGTTTTCCAGCCCAAGTGAGTATAATCTTTTTTTCTCACACTGACCTCTATGGTCATTGCTTTATCTTCATTAAAAGCTGGATTCTGCCAGAAGAGTGTGCAGGATGTGAAAAACAGGACACACACACACACACACACACACACACACACACATGATTTTTTTTTAGTTGAGACCAAAGAAGAGGCTTAAGGTATAGTTCCACAATATAGTGCCCAATGTTATTCTGGCAAGTGTCTCCACACTTTAGACTAGTTTCAAATTTCACTTCAGTATCCAAAAGCTTGTTTTTGTTTTAAGATAATCAAAGCATTTGGTTATAGCCAAGTACCTACTGAGTGAATCTCTTAGATTTGTCTTTTCAACAAAAGAAACAATGAGGAGGTTTTTGAAGTAACACTTAAAAGCTTTCCTGTGTGCAAGCAGTAAATACTTGGCTTATTCTTTAGAAATCAGTCAGAGTACCATGGAGAAATTGTCACCTAAGGGCAAAGTGCTCAGAGGCAGGTGAACCTTGGCCCAGGATTCCCAGTGGGAAGTTCTACCTGGTCCTTGATGTACAGGCTTGTGTTTTTATCCATCAGCCCCTCAATCTCAGGCCTGATTCAGAAGCCCACGGGGTGCGGAGGAAGGAAGTGGGTGGGGCTTTGGATCCTATCTCTGGTGTGGCTGGTCTAGGTGAATACCAGCTGCTTATTCCACTGGGGCATGGGGATACTAATTAGTGCATCTCCCAGGATTCTTGTGCAGATTACAGTCAATGAGACAATGTAATGGGCTGGCCAAAAAGTTTGATCAAGTTTTCTCTAACATCCTACGGGAAAACCCGAATGAGCTTTTTGGCCAACTGGATATATGTTATACTCCTCCTAGAAGGAGTTTACACACAGAGAAGGCACCCAATAAATGAATGGCGGCTGCTGCAAGACACAAATGAGGTACTCAGCTGGATCCTCGCTTGGGGCGCACACATCTCGGTGGATAGAAGGGAGATCTGGCACAGTGCTTTCGAAGTTCATTTGATGAGGCCCATCGTTCACACCCGTACATTTCTCTCTATCCCTCTTCCCCTGGGAAACGTGTTTCCAAATTGCCTAAAGGACCCTGCAATAATAATGGTACTGTTTCCAAGCAAAAACCTCCCCCCGACCCACCCCTCCCAGCTCATCTCATCTCCGGAGATATTTGAAGCTCCTGGCTGCATCACCAGCCCATTCCACTCAAGAAGTGCTGCTTCTCCTCTGAGCCAACCCTGAACATCCAGGGGGCTATTGATGTTAACATTCTAATTTTTCTCACAGAGCCTTTGGAGGCCTACCCTCATCTAACTTGCCCGAAGTCTTTCACATTGTGTATGCTGCCCGGGTTTTAAAAACCTCTGGAACTGACGTGGGGCTGGTTGCCAAAACCAACATTTCATCTGTGGGTAGAAGTGCTCCTCCCCACACGATGTGCCCCTGGCTATTGAGTCTTTCGCTTCCCGGGGCCTCTGGACTCGCCACCTGGGCGGCACCCAGTTCGTCACTTGCTCTGGTCCTGCTGCACCACGCAGTGTGGCTAAAAGGATCTGGATTCACCGGCAGCGATCAGGAAAAAAAAAAGAGAGAGACACACACAGAGGAGGCAGACATAGGAAACACAAAAGTACAGTTTGAACTTAGGGGAAAACGTTTATGTGGCTGTTGTCTATTTTTTCAAACTCACTAAGACATGTGTTGTCCTTGAAGAAATTCAGAAATTTCAAGCATTCCTCCAGGTCGTTTCCGCTGTTGTTGCAGTCACACCAGGGGGCCACGCTGAGGCTACTGGAGTCTATGTAGTTGGGGGTCATGACTGTACCTAAAAGAGTAAAAACAAGGCGTTTTATTCTTGTGTGATGATATAAACTTTCCTATAGCCTGAAAAGAAACAAATGTTTCTCTGACTTCAGATGCACCGTGGATAACACCGTGGATAATTACAAACACTGTGTTTGCTGAGTGGGAAATTATGTTAAGCAGTGCATTTTTTTTGGCAATTTATCTTGAGCACATAAAATAATTTACACATTTACTTTAAAAATTCTAACAGAACTCCTTGAGCTGCGCTTAGGGTATTTTTCTCTGCACAAATGGTATGGATGTCATGGAGCAGGAGAGAATTAACTTAGAATGCATGAATTGCCAAATCCCTTGCATTTTCTTGAAAATGTCATTAATCTTCACAAATAGATACAGCTGGTTTTACATATCTTAAAAGGCCTTTTAGGACTTTGCATCTACTTCCTTCAGAAGCAAATGGCTCCTTCAAGGTAACCCAGGGAAGCTTAGAAGCTTTCCTTATGGGTTACCCCACGTTCTAGATGTATTCAAGGAAGCCTCTGTTCACTAGACTCTCAACAGATTTAAACAAGGTCTTGCAAGTTGTGATGGAATTGGAAATAAACAGTGGAAATTTCCTAAGCCAGTGGTATTGTCTTAATAGTCCTCAAAAATCCTCAAAGAAACGCTGGGTGGTCTCTTGCCTACATCTTCCTGTGTATTCATTGTTCTTCTGATGAGTTCTGTATTGGTGCAAATAAACAATGCATTTACACTTAACATGACCCAAATGTCTTCTCCTGGGTGGCTCACACCAGGCAATGCCTACCCATGCCAAGAAGCCTTCTGTTTTTATATATTTTGTGGAAGTAAGAAGTAATAGGCAGTCCAGTGAGTTACAGGATATATTTGGTTCAGAAAAAAAAAAAAATTCTTTTCAAGCTTTTATGGATCAAGGGCATATCTTTGCCCTACATTCCTTACTGACTTGAACTAAACAATGTCCCATTCTACCTTGGGATGAAAACTTCAACCCACAGCAGAGAGAAGCTTGTAACTTTTGGTGAGAAAGGAACAGGCACCCCCAACACTGAATGAAGAAGTTAGAGTATGTCTGCTAAGCACCCACTGTATGTCTGGCTCCAGAATGGATCTCTGACATTTGGAAAAGGTAGGAACTAGCTTTGTCTTCAGAAATCTTAGAACCCAATGACCAGAGTGGAGGGAAAGATCTGGACCCGAGAGAAATAAATTTTGGCTCACAGAATGCATTGTTTCAACTAGTTCTTCCCTTAAGTGATTTCATTATCCTCAGGTATTTAATAGTTTGTTGAGCTTGAACCCACATGGAGTTTTCAATGAGCATGTGCACCTTGAATGTGTAGACTAAGGCATTAACAGTGATTACATCTGGGAGTGGGGCTAGAGATCTTTTAACACTGTGGGTTTCTCTGCATTTTAAAAAACTCTTTACAACGAACATGATTTAATTAATTCTGTTATTTCTTAAACATGTAATTCTATCATTGATAAATAATCCTTACTAGGAACTACTTTATTTAAGAAAAGGAAAAACTGAATGCAAATTTGGAGGAATGACTTCCCTGGCTGCCCAGTGGTTGAGACCCCAGGCTTCCACTGCAGGGTGGTCACAGGTTTGATCCCTGGTCAGGGAACTAAGAAGCCACATGCCAGTCCTGCCAGTCTCACAGCATGGCCAAAGAAAAAAATAAATAAAAGTGGAGGGCTGACTTAAGGAAGATAAGCTCATGGGACCTGTCAGTGAGAATGGTCAGTCGCTGGTGCAAGGTATTACCCAAGACAGCACAGGTATCCTTGCAAATAAAATCGGGCTGTGTACAGCACCAGCAATATCCCAACACTCAGTATGGCCAGTGATTTTCCCAGTGACTCTTGCTGAAGATATGCTGGCGACAAAGACTTTGGTCTGTGCTGTCACTCTTGATAGGACGTTCTTCCTGCCCAGTGACTAGTGTGATAGCGGCAGGAGCTGGTGCCCTGGCTGAGCCATCAGGCTTCTGACAACTGTGATTCCTCTCATCCTTGCCCAGCTTTCACTATGTGTTCCTTCTCACATGACAGTCGTGAGGGAGCCCTGCTTCCAAGGCTTCCCACAGCCCTGGTACCAGGAGCCCCATCCTCTTCTCCTGCTGCCCTGTTACTTCTGGGCATGAACCTGCCTCACTCCTGTCCTCTCCCAATTCACCAGTGCCTTGCCTAATTGCACTGCTCTCCTGAATGCCAAGCACCTCAGGTCTTGAAAGACAGAACAAGACTACTTCTGCTATGTTTGTTCTCAGGGAAAAAATATTAAGGAAACCTCCCTCCCTCCCCACCAGGAGCTGAATTACCCAGACTACTAATGGCAAGCAGAACACCAAGTCTTTAGGGATTTTCCTTCCAAAGGGCCATTTCAGGGAAACAGCCTTTCTGATTTCCCCAGACTGCGTGACATCCAAGCTCCCCCCTCTTCAAAGTTACCTACTTCAGTTAATTTGGTTTGACTTGTTCTCCTCGTCCATAACTATGCTTTCCCCACTTACTTCTGTTCTGTGTGGTCAATTCTTCAACTGAGATGCGTCCCCGGTCTTCACACTTGCTGCCTCCCTGCTCTTTAATAATCCCTGCTTCCTGCTTTTGTGCATCCATTATTCTTCCCCGCCCGCCCCCCCTTTTTTAGAGACAAGTCCTAAAGGACCCAACATCAAAACGCCAGCACAGAGGGTTCCGAGGGGATTTTTATACCCACAGAGTGGCAGGCTACAACGGAAGGACTCTGGGTGTTTGTACACCAGCATTTTCTTCCACCCATGTCTCCCCATCTTACCAATAAGCCCCGAGTAGGCGAGGAGGCAGTCAGCGTAATTTTCCTTTAGACAACTGCTCGCAGACCTTGATTCTGGCTGGCAGTTGGTGAAAAAATCGGCCAGGCGCGATCTGCAACAGGAAGAAAGTTGGGGGAGGGGGGAGGATGTGTTTGAAAATAGCCCAAGCTTCTTCTGCACAGACATAACTTTTCCTTACTCCTTTCTCGATAGGCCTTTTTCAACATCCCAAAATACAGAGAGTGTAGACTCTTAAAATGTTAGCATCTTCTCTTATATACAAGCCCCCAGCCATCCCCTCGCCCACCTGTGTCTGCTTCTTTGCAGAGAAGTCTTCAGGGCCTGCAACTGGAGAAATCTTGACGCTTTGAAGTTTCCCTTCAATATTTATTTCTGACTAGACTTATTTGCATCTTTAGGAAATATGCTTCTGCACACACTCACCGGAGAGCCACAGTGGGAAAATATTTACTTTATACAGAAACATGTCCCTGGCGTCCAAATAGGATCCTACAGCCCATCTGCTCCCGTAATTCCTAGTGGCTTTAAGAATATGCGTGTCTGGTCTTCTAAGTCATCTCTCATCTACCACCCCAGGGAGGGGGCAGTGGTATATTCCAGCCAAGGGATGCTGAGGGGGAACTTTGCCTTTCCAGCACTGCAGGGAAAGGCAAAAGGGACTCGGAGACACTGGTCAGGATGCGACTGGGTGTAGGGGGTCCCCTGGTCGAAGTACAGCTTCTGTCTGCAGTTCAGGAAGCCTCCAGGGGCCAGCGCAGTCCACCCAGAAGCCCTGGGTGCTGGTGAAGTTGCCGAAGCACAAAGGGACTGCAGACATCACTGGTCTGCAGAGGAAAGGGGCTCTTTGTGGCCAACCGGCTGTTTTTCAGTCTGAAGAGGATATTGTTGGAGAAATTCTAAATGAGAACTGGGCCATCTCTAAGGTCATCTGAGCAGACAACAGCTCTGTTTCTATGTGAGGAACACAATAGACTTCAAGAGAAGCTAAATTATCTGGCGATTACAAGAGACAACGGATGGCTGTCTTAGCTCCTTCTCTTTAGCGCACTCGAGTTGGCAGCCAACATACACAGGGCTGTTTTTACTTTTTTCCACCCAAGAAATTGTATTTACTTAGCATCCCTAATGATATAAACAGGGTTGCCTGGGTGGGGCTGAGCAAGGTAGAATGTGTGGAGATCACAGGGGTCTGTAAAGGGTCTGTAGGAAGCATATTCTGGGCCCTTTTCCTACAGCTTGAACTGGAAGATTAAAAGGCCTTATGAAATGATCTGTGTGCACAGCACATTGGAAAGGCTGCCCAGTGTTCCTTTGGGATTGGTCTCTCCTTGAACCCATGTAAACAAGGCGTGTCTGAGCTTCCCTATCTGTGCCGATCTGTACACTCCGTATGTCGTGTGCCAGGTCCCATCACTGTGACTCCCCGGGGCAGGTGCTGGAGCTTTGCTTTATTTTCTTTGCACAGCACCTGACACTCCTCAGAACGTTTCCCGAGCGGGGCCATGTGGTGCAGCTAAGTGGCTTGGCAAAGATCCTCCAAATGAGGCTGGTGCATGCGCCTGTGTGTGTGCCTGCATCCCTCCCACAGTCTGAGCCTAGCTGGTGCTTTCTGACTCTAACTGAACACACCGAAGGGCGTGGAACCTGGCCATTTTCTGCAGCCTGGTTAAAGGATTTATCTTTCAGAAGAAATCCCTAAAGGTGACTCAGACTTACTCAACTGGCACCAATGGCATCCATCTTGGATCGAATGTCAATTTCAGAAGAGTTTTCCTGGTCATGAAAGTTAATGATCTCATGGCACTGGGCTTCTAACTTTGCAGAGGCCAACTGTGTGGTTCAGGCAGCTGGGACTCCAGCTCTGCACACAAGCCGATCAGCTCCCTGACCTGGCAGCCCCGTGCTCCCAGCTGCCCCCGCAGAGAGGGATGAAAGGTCGCGCTATCTCCAAGCCTCCTGCTTCTCGTAGTCTCTCGTGCAGACTATTAACTGAACAGCACCGTGACTCGGATTACTATCCTCCAGCGGGAGGCTAATGCCACCAGACTCATTTTGCTTAACAACCTCAGAATTGACTCACAATTGGACTCTGGAATGAAAGGCTAATTGAGTTAGTCTGCTGCAGAGAACATAACCCTGATTGGGAGGATAAAACTAGATATACTGCTCTGAGCATCTCCCCGAACAGGCTGGTTTTAGAGAGAAGATTGTCAGCCCAGATCTCAGTCCTAAGACAAAACCAGCCAGTGGATGGCAAGGGTTTCAAAAATAATGGTGAGCCGACACGGCATTGCTGAAACATGAACATTTTGCTGGTTCCTTCACCTCTGACCCACCTCCTCTTGCCATTCATGCCTGGAGACACGATGATCACTTTATGGGATTCACATTTAACAGACAGAAAAACTGAAGGCAGAGGAAGTTTATACGGTGGTTGCTCAAGTGGGTGGATTTGTATGTTTTCATGAATTCTGCGAGTTGGTTAACTTCACAATGGTAGTTTGAAAGTGGACGAGGTGGGAGAATTTTCATTATGGTAATCAGTCAGCTCTACAGCTCACAACCCTATGCTATTCTCAGAGAGCCAGTTGTTAAATATTTACTAGCACAATGCTCTCAAAAAACCAGCATGGTGTAGTCAACCCCACGTATAAAGGAAGTATCTTTACTTCCTTTGAATTCTTGGGAACTCAAAGTTCTTGGGAGTTGAATTTCAGCACTTCCTGGATGAGCTACCTCTCCCATCCCTAATCACCTTTATGTCAAATGACATGTGAAATGGTGTCATAAATTAACCTCCAGTCTCCAGTATCTTCTAAAGAAAGAAAACAGTTCTCTCTAAAGACACTCCCATCCCAACAACACAGCCACCGAAATCTCTCAAAGAAACGTGTGCAAACGATTACAGGTATTGACAAAGCAGCTGACTTCTTGTCCTTTGTATTGACTGAATGACGAGTCCAGGGCTTGTGTTAATAAGGATGAATGAGTTCCCTGTCCCTGAACCCAAATAACCTGCCATCTAGAAGCCAAGAGAAACAAGTAAAAAGATGATAATACCACGATGGCTAGTTCTCAATAAAAGACAAGAAACGTTGCTAATAAAAGTAACACAACATGAATCAAGTGTTTAGAATATGTTAGGTACGTCTTCATATACTTTATATTTTTTCCTGGCAACTCTAATAAGGTAAGGACTATTACTCTGTTATCCTAATTTCACAGAGGAGGAAACAACAGCTTATTGAGTTTAGACTAGAGTGAAATAGTGAATAGCAGAACCAGGATTTAAAAGCTATAACAAACCTAGACAGCATATTAAAAGGCAAAGACATCACTTTGCCGACAAAGGTCTGTATAGTCAAAGCTATGGTCTTTCCAGTAGTCATGTACTCAATGAGAGTTGGACCATAAAGAAGGCTGAGCCCTAAAAAACTGATGCTTTCCAACTGTGGTGCTGGAGAAGACTCTTGAGAGTCCCTTGGACAACAAGGAGATCAAACTAGTCAATCCTAAAGGAAATCAATCCTGAATACTCATTGGAAGGACTGATGCTGAAGCTGAAGCTCCAATACTTGGCCACCTGATGTGAAGGGTCAACTCATTGGAAAAGACTATTATGCTGAAGGCAGAAGAAGAAGGTGGCAGAGGATGAGACTGTTGGATAGCATCACCGATTCAATGGACATGAACTTGAGCAAAGTCCAGCAGTTAGTGAGGGTCAGGGAAGTCTGGTGTGCTGCAGTCCATGGGGTCGCGATGAGTTGGACACTTCTTAACAACTGAACAACAACAACAACAAATTCTGATTCTACAATTTAAGCTTTCAACACAACAGGAACTAGTTTCAGAGAAGTTGTAATATTGAGACTGAGGCTTGGAGGATCAGTAGGTTCCTTCAGGTAAAGGTGGAAGAGGGTGTTCCCTCTGTAGAAGGAAGCAATAAGTGATAAAATAACCAGATTCATAAAAATCCCAGGAGAACAATCACAGATTATTTGCACTGATCGAAGTGTCTGGCATTTATTCACATATTTAATTTTAACTGCAGTAGGTGATACTACCAGCCCCATTTAGCAGATGGAGACACTGAGGCAAAGAGAGGTTAAGTAACTCCTCAGAGGTTGTAGACCTCTGTGCTGGAGCTGAAACGTGACCACATTCTAGGTGACTCCAGAGCCACAGTACATTCTCAACCATTACACCTAACATGGAGTCAAACAGACTTAGACATGACTTGGCAACTGAACAAAACCACCACCACCACCTAATGCATGCATCATCCAGAAAACTGTCAACTGTTCACTTGGGATGGCTGGGCCACAGGAAGCACATGGTGAGTGACAGGAGATGGTGCCAGCAAGATCAGCAAGGGCCTTGAATGACCTAAGAGGCTGGATTTTATCCTGAAAGCAGTGGGAACCACCAAAGGATCTTAAACAGAGAAATAACATGATCAGGTCTGCAGAACAGAAGGACTCTTGGGTGTTTCAGTTATTAAGCAAAGATTTGCTTGAAACTTCTTCTATGCCCTCCCTGCTCTAGCAGAGATGAGAAGAGCAGGGAACTGGCCAAAGGAAGGAAGGACAGTTGTGCTGGAGGCTGAAGCCAGTTGGGTACCCTGAGGTGAGAACTGAGGACTAGAAGAGGAGGGGGGAAAGAGGATGCCCTTGAATGGTGAGTGAGTCAAAGTCGCTCAGTTGCGTCCAACCTGCAACCCCATGGACTATACAGTCTGTGGAATTCTCCAGGTCGTAACACTGGAGTGGGTAGCCATTCCCTTCTCCAGGGGATCTTCCCAACCCAGGGATCGAACCCAGGTCTCCCACATTGCAGGAAGATTATTTATCAACTGAGCCACCGAGGAAGCCTGTGGTGGGTGTTGATGGAATGAAAGTCAAGACTGGGGACGTCCCTGGTGGTCCAATGGCTAAGAATCTGACTTGCAATGCAGGGAAGTTGGGTTCAATCCCTGATTGGGGAACTAAGATCCTGAATGCATGTGTGCTAAGTCGCTTCAGTCATGTCTGACTCTTTGTGACCCTATGGACTGTAGCCCACCAGACTCATCTGTCCATGGGATTCTCCAGG